GCTGAAGTGAAGAAATTACAGCTCAGTCACCTGAGTTTGAAAACACTAGGAACCACTCAACTAAAATAGCTCCTTCCTGCTTTCATGCTAGAGCCACTTGTTGCATCTGTTGTTATTTGTTCATTTTTTTGTTTTTTTGGGGGGGTGCTGGGATGAAACCCATGGACTTTGCATGCTTAGCATGCACTCCACCACTAAGCTATATCCCTAGCACTTTCTTCTCTTTCAATTTGCTCCTCATCTATTGTTTCCCCAATCCTGATTGTATCAAATCTGCAGTTCAAGCAGCCATTCAAGACTAGCAAGAATCTCTGGAGCACTAACACAAATTCCCAGGGAAGAGATGTGTGAGATACCCATCCTGGCCTAATCAGCTTGGCCTGTAGATTAGTGTCATGTGGTCCTCTGCCCAATAAACCAGGCTACAGGAGTGGACTCTAAGGAGAACAATAAGTTCCCTAAAAAAGGGAATGGGATTCATGTTTTATTTAAGCCAATATCATACTGAAGAAATAGCCAACTGATTTCTAAGGGTTATATGCTTATTTATATAGTAAGATGTATAATATATTATGCAAAGGAAGGAAGTGACTTCTGTTCAAATACATCTGCCTCCTTGTACAGTACTTATGCCAAGTCTGAGTGGAATTGTTTTGTATCTTATTTTATAATCATATTGTAAATTCCCTGTCTGCAGGGCTGATTTTTGATACCAAGTTGCATTCCCTACAGCTTGAGAAGTAGACACTCAGTAATTGCCAATTTAAATGAACATATTAATTTTTTTTCCTTATCCCTGTTCCCTTATAATCAAGTTATAGGTAAATTTTAGTTGGAAGAGAATATAAAGATGAAAATTTATCACCTCAAATTAAATCTTAGATTTTTAAAATTTTCTTTTCTTTCCAGATTTTCCCGAAAACATGAACTGCCAAGAGAAAAATGAGACATAAAACTTAAGCACATTGTTTTATATTTATGATTTGCAAATTGGCATTTCATCATAGGGGCTGAATTCACAGATATACTATATAGATTGTATACAGAACTGAGACTGATTTTGTATAGATCAAAATACTTGCTATGATTTTTGCTTTGAGAAAATTTTCTGCACTATTTGCACTAAAAATGTTTATTTATTGTTGATAAACTATCATATATTTAAGTTCTGCTGCTATTCCTCTTATTATTGATTAAATGCCTATCCATGTAATTTCAGATACTTTTCAGTACTTTATAAAACTAATTTAAATTTGTAGTTTTAATTCAAAGCTGCCTCAGTTCTTTATCAAGAGTGGTGTGTTTTTTAGATTATTTTCCTCCCAACCTTTTTTCAAGAAATTTTCAACTGTGGAAAGTTACCTTTTTTTTTCTTTCTTTCTTTCTGGATGATAAAACTTTTCAAGGGCAATTTGTTTTTAAATATTCATAGTGTCAGGAAACACCAGATCTGCCAATGTGCCATCTCAAGTAAGTAACTTTTAATACCTACAATAAACCAAAAAAGAGTAAACCAGCTCTTCATACATTGTTTTATTTTTAAAACTGAAGATACATTTAAGTTGCAAGACAGTTAAATAAATATTTTACTTAAGAAAATGACTGGTTTCGTTTAAACCAGTCCAAAACAAACTTTCAGGCTAATTCTTAAAAAATAAGTATCTGATGGGTTTGTGGTTAGATGGGTATGCTTTCTAAATTCCTAGTGTTAAAAACAATCTTTTTGTTAATAAAAATAATCTAGACACACACACAAAAAAAAAAATCAATGAATTTTTCTCATTTTTATGTGAATTCGATTTTCCTGAGAAAAGTTTTATAGTAACTAGTAAAAGTACTATTTAGTTTTTAAGCAATCCAAATTTTTAATGAATTTCCTCTTCATTTGTAATGTGTTCAGTAATTTGCTTCTATGCCATGTCACCAAATGAACATATTTCATAAGTAGCCCTAAGTGATTCTAAAGGGAGAAAATTTTGAACTCTATCTGAGGCTCAATAAACTAGTATCTAAATCACGAAACAACCTAGTGCATATTTTTGCTTAAATTTCATCCCCTTATAATTATCATTTCAGCATTTGCATACAATACAGATTATCTTTGTCTTCATTCTTCTCTCCTTCTATACATGTCTTTAGCAATGGAGGTTTAGGGGAAAGACTTAATTTTCTTAGAATTGAAAAATACTTAATACTTAGTCTATGTTTGTAGAACACAAATATTCACATGGACTAAAAAGGTACAATGTTGTATGCAAAAAAAATGGCTTTTATTAATTGTCTGTCTTGCCGGCACTGTGCTAAGGAAGGGCATGCTATTTAATATTCAAAATGCTCAGAAAAAGGTAAAATTATTCCTGATTTGTGGATGAAATAATGAAGTAAAAGTATATCAAATCTGTGATAGTCTTTTGGGCATTCATAACTTTCCTTATTGTCTGTGACAATATCCAGTGTGATAGCATTGGCCATCAGAGATTAATATTCCCAACAATTATTGCAGTCACTGGAAGACTTTGCATTCCCAATCTTTTACAAACAAATCAGGTAGCTTTCCTGGAAACTAGATATATCCTAGAACAAGAGGTCAGCAGACCAGAGACCTTCTAAAAGACCCTTCACACTAAAAATAATGCATTACGGAAATACCATATAAAGATAACTCAAGCATGGTTTAGTTATTGAAGTGCTTATCTACCTCCTGTTCTACCCAAATATATATACATGTATAAAAAATACATAATTTCCGTTAAATTTTTATTAGATAACCTCTTAACAACCCAGTGATTAGAGAATTTTGATCACAATTATCTGTATTATACAAATTGGCAATTTAGTTCAGATATAGATTATGTATGTCTTTTAGGATGGAAAGATTTTATGCCTGTGTGAATTTGTGTTCCGTGACTGCAATAAATTTAAATGATGTTTTTTTCTAATGTTTTGGCTATATTTCTTTGTAAAAAATGACTATAGACATACATGCCAAGGTAAATATTCTGATTTTACTATGTAATAGAAGACTAGATGGAAATCAAAATTGTAGAGGAAAACTTAGGAGTTTCAATAGACTATCTAGGACAGAGGTTTGTTATGGATAAAGCTTTAAAGGTTAATATCTCAAAAGAGAAGAAAATTCTAAATCAATGAGATATATACTACTAAAGATAACAATTTTAAAGTTGAAAGAAATTTCTAGGAATAAACAGACTAGAGAATTTTTATTGGGATAGAGGTCATTGGACAAATAAGGTTTAAATCATAATCTATATATGATTATATTGAAAGACAGCTCAGATTTATGTACTCTTGAATAAATATTTCTCCTTTGTTTTCCATAACTTCCTTTATTCTATAAAATAGTTCAATTATTGGTTTGCTTAATCATGATTAAAATTCTTATCTACTTCATATCAAATTTACCTTAATATCACTGAATAACAAATCACTTGAGCGCTATTACTAATTAGGAAGTAACAGGCCTATGTCAGTTGCATATCGGTTTATTCCTTTCACTTTAAACCACTGCCCTAAATAATAAAACACTTCTTGATTGCAGTTTGATTTAAAATAAAAATGTACTGTTAAGAGAATTTAGTCTTGTTGGATTGACAGTGCTCTTTAAAGGCTCTGTAAAAGCACAATAAATGTTTAATAAGCAATAAATATAAACTTTTATATAGAGTTCAGTGTTAGTTTATAAAACATAGACTAAATGAACATAATGTTTTGTAAAAAGATTGAGGGAACTAAAAAGTTTATGGCTCTGATGGAACATGTCACATTATAAAATTAAAATTTAATATATCAAATAGAATATTTGCTTTCCCAAGTAAATGCATAGTCCTTTTTGGCATAGATACTCTTTCTTTTCTTTTAAAGTATTGCTTTTTTTAGCCTTATACTACCAACTGGAAGAAATTAAAGTCATATCCTCAGTTTTAGGCAACAAAGTTTCTAGAAGTAGACAACTACAAGAATGGCATGAAGTGAGTTATATACATTATAAAAATGTAAAAGCCATTGACCCTATATCCTAAGTATTTCTTAGCAGGGTATTCTCTGTTATATATATATTTTTATTATAGAAAATGAATGACCTTTCCTTGTATTCAATTTGGGAACTACTCAGCAGAAAATACTCAGATTTTGTATTCTAAAACAATTGTACTTGCTTTTTTTAACATTAAAAGAGCATTTTATATTACATGTCTTTAGTATATTAAAATAACTTCTATTTTTAAATATGCATACAATTAACAATTATACTGTATAATTTGATTTATGTATATTACTATGCCCCAAATCTTTCATAGAGATTTTAGCAATATCACTTGCCTTTTTTCTTTTCCTTGCTCCCATTTTAGCAAAATGTAATATATTCTCCAATAAAAATTCACATATTTAAAATGTTGATATAGTGATAAAATTAATCCTTCTACATTCTAGAATGTACTAATATTTCAAAGCCATACATTGTGAATACTCTTTCTTTCTATTCAAACATGATCACTTTTCTCTAGTAGGTTCCTTCAAATCAAAAGTTCAGGTTACCTAGTAAAGTCCTATGTTTCAGCAATAAGATAGGAGGATGGTTCTGTTTCACATGTGCCTTTTACCAAAACAAAAAATTTTCAGAATATTTAGCAGTCGTTGTTCATCAGATGTTACTAATGTTAATTAAACTAGATTCACCAGTCACATAATTTCTAGAATGATAGATGCTGTAATTCATTCCCCCCTGGTTAATAGGCATGACAGCCAAATTCTCTAGTTCTTAGCTGGGATTTGCTCTTGTTGATATTTTACCCTACTAACTTTTTTTACAGTGTTAAACTTCGGGAATCGAACTGGTTGATAGTTGGCTCAAACAATCCTTGTAGTCTAGTCTCTGGAACAGTAACGAAAGGTTGTTATTAAGAAAGCAGATATGATCTGAATTCATATGTAAGAGCCAGAGAGTGAATGTTGCTTCTATTTTATTAGGTATTAGACCCATCTTGGAGAAAAAGTAAGTTATAAGTTTTATTATTTTTTTAAATGATGAGAAACAGAAGAGATTCCAGAAAGGGCAACAAAATTATTATTAACAATTCAAAATATATTATCTAAGGAAAAGTTAAAGTGATTATTATACCTGAAAGATAAGTTTAAACAATTTCAAAGCTCCTTATATCTCATCAACGTGCCCTATTTTTAGAAATAATGGTAATAGGGTCAGAAGGTAGAAAACACAAACTGTGCATTTGGAAGTGAAATAAGAGACATTCAAGATCATAACAGGTGTAAGGGAAGAGGGTCAGGGGGCTTTGTGAGGAGATGCATGCTATGACAAGGAAGATTTATACTGGTAACCTCAAGTGATGATAGAATTAATTGTTTTGCAGTGAATACAATTTTCATAGTCTAGAATGAGTTTCAAAATGATGAATAATTTTCCTTATATTGATGAAAGAAGTGGCTACTTCTTGTTCTTAAACATCTAAATACACTAAGAGTTGGTCATTTTTTCCATTTTCATAGCTACATTTTACAATTCTCGATGACATGTCCCATTTCCTAAGTTATTTTTATTCAGAATTGCACCATGCCCTTGTTTTTGGAAGTGTTTCTTGTGTATCCTTCACTTTGGAACTCCAAAGGGAAATTTCAGGCAGTGAGAAACACAGCTTCATCAGAATCCCGGTCCTTACCACTGTCTTCGCTTGGTGCACGCTCACCACCACTTGGAGACCGACAACTTAAATCCTCCACCCCAGACTCTTGATCACTGTTCACTGACAGGTCGGGATCTGAGCTTTTCAGATTGTCTTGGGTTAGAATCAGAGCAGAATCTTCATCACCCTGTGAAGGGCTTCTGGATGGAAATGATTTCACATTCCCACTGTAATCCTGGGGAGTGTTGGCTGTGCTGTTGTCTGTGGTAGAAAACCCTGAGTGTTTGCTGGGTTCACTTTGCTTGTTACTCTTCACTGTAGTGTGATTTAACTGGACCTTCTGAATTTTTTCCAGCCTCTGAAGAAGAAATAATAATTTCAGGGAAAAATTATAAATAATTTACCTTCTCCTTTTATACATGCATCCCTTTAGTTTGCCTTCCAGCTGGGTATAATGTTTAGAATATGGGACTCGAATGGATGAGGGTTCAAACCTAGGCTTTTTGGCCTGTACAAAATGAATTCTGTGAGGCTTGCTTTCTTCATCTCTAATGTGAGGATGATAATAACTAGCGTGACACGTTTTCTATAAATGGAAACAGTATAACACAGATAACGTACCTGGTAATCAGTAGTCTCCCTCTTTTCTATGCCTGTTTGGTTCCCATGAACTCAGAATGTTTGTTTGTTTGTTTTAAGTCAGAAATGAGGTGTTTATCTAATTTTATTGATATAATTCACTTATAAAATTCACCCTCAATGTATGCAATTCAGTGGCTTTTAGTAAATTTCCAAGGTTTTACAACCATCCCTACTTAATTCTACATCATTTTCATCACCCCTCCCTTACTTAAAAAAAAAAAAAAAAAAAAAAACTCCAACCAATCATACTCATTAGCAGTCAGCACCCATTCCCCTTCTCTACATCCTGTGGCAACTGCTAGATAGTTTTCTATCTCCAGATTTGCCTACTTTGGATATTTCATATCAATGGATAATACACTACATGCCCTTTTGCGTCTGGCTTCTTTCACTTAGCTTCTGTTCTCAAGGAGCATCCATATGATAGCATGTATCAGGATTTTATTTACATTCCATGACATGAATATGCCACATTTTGTGTCTCCGTTCATCGGGTTATGGACATTTGGGCTATTCAAAATATATTTTACCAGATTATATCCTGTAATGTCAGCAGGGGAGGTATTATAAGATCGAGTATCTCATATTCCTTCAAAACCACTCATATGAGGTATTAGTGAAAAAGCACTGTGTTGGGCAATATGAGGAACAGAAATAAATCTAGATCCAGCTGTGGAGAACTTGAAGTGTTTAACCGAGGCTGTGTTCATGTAGGGATTTGGAAGAGTCAAATTTAAGAGGGATGGGGGTGGAGTCATGCAGGTGAGCTTCAGGGAGAAAAGTGCATTTTAACAGAACTCTTAAAGGATTAAATATGGACATTCTGGTAGCATTCCTGGTAGAAGGAACAGTGAGAAGAAAAATACAAAGGTAAGGAGGTGTCAATAATGAGCAAGAAGCAGAAAATGTTCAACTTTAGCAAAGGGAACAGTGGAGAATAAGTGAAAAGTTGGATTAGACTGAATTATAGGAAAATCTCAAATGCCAGACTAAGAAACTTTTACTGTCGTATAAGGAAATAATAATAAAAAATTTTAAAATTAAGGCACTTTAAAATATTCTAAATAAATATTTTTTAAAATTGTTTAACAATTGTTCAACAAAATGAATGCTGGAAAAGATTAATAAAATCCTAAGATTTTCATAAAGCTTGTATGTCTTTAGGAAGTGTGAGTTTAACTAGCCCAATGATGACTCAAAGAACAAAAAAGATCTACCATGGCTCTAGAATTCTAAAACCCCAACCTGCAGCTCATTTCACTCTCTTCATTTATTCTTTGATTTGATTCACATCACCTGTGGCACTCAAGATACTGAAATTTCTAGGCTTAGTGCCCAGGCATCAGGATTTCCTGGGAGGTGGTGATCTTGCTGCACAAACAAGGCTAAAAACTACTTCTCCAATAAGGTAAAACATGATGATATAAGCAGAATTCATCATACAGATACAGCAAAGTTTTTTTGGACGCTGGCAGATTTCTAGAGTACCATTTATACCTGGTCTTAAAAGTTCTCCAAACCAATGGTTTAACCTGTGAATCTGTTTTACCTGTCCAGCTTAAGCACTTAAATTTGCAACCCAACTTAAGATCATCCATGATATTTATATCTCAAAAAGTGATATTTTCTAGAATATCATGAAGAACAGGAATCAGCCTCACCAGCTACCTCTAAATGACCGCCTCTATTGTTGAGAACCCTGAATCATAAAGCACCATTTCCCCAAGGCATCATTCTCGGTGGGGACCTGCAGGTGAGTATCCACTGGGCCAAGGAGTAGAATTCAATTTCAATTTGTGATATTTTGCTGAATCTTCTTTAGATACTGACCAATTGGAAAGGCTATGTTCTCTTCTAGCCACGTTATTGCTCTATGAGGATAAAGAAGAACCTTAACTATTGACAATTTCCAACCCTCACCCCTAACACTTTTTCCTCACTACATATGATCTTAAAGTTTTCATTATATTTAAATTATTGAACCTCAATTCAAAACTCAGGTCCCAAACAATAGGAACTTACTGCCAATTCCTGAACAAATGAAATGGTATGGTGGTGAAGTGTTTTAAGAAAACAACTGAAGCAGAACCAAGCAAAAATCCAAGTGGGTTTGGTGATCAACTAAATTTAACTAGTATCACTGAAAACAAAGTTATCCAATTAAAAAAAGCATTTAAGTATATTATAACCTCCCTGGCCCAAATGGGGAAGTAACAGAAGCCCAAAGTAGTCAATTTCAATTATTTTATCTTTTATATACTAACATAATATCATTATTTAATTCTTAAAAGTGAAGACACAGGACACAGGTATGGTGGTGCACACTTGTAATCCTAGTGACTTAAAAGGCTGAGGCAGGATGATTGCAAGTTCAAAAGACAGTTTCAGCATTTAGCAGTCCTAAGCAACTTAGTGAGAACCCGTCTCGAAAAATAACAAGGGCTGTGGATGTGACTCAGTGGATAAGTGCTACTGGGCTCAATCCCCAGTAGCAAAAAAAAGAAGTGAAGTAGTAGATTTTTACTACAGATAAAATGTCTAATTATACTCCTTTTTCAGTCTTTTTTCATGCTTTCTCCAGAAAGAATTTTAGTACTAGTATTTACTAGTAACAACAAAATGTGTGTGTGTGTGTGTGTGTGTGTAAATAGCCAAATAGTTCAGCACACTGTGGAAATGACCATGAGCCAGAATTGTGATATGTATTAAATTCCTACATATGGACATCAGTCATCTGGGTGCTCACCTGAATGAGACTGTATCATCCAATGATTATAAATAAAAATGGTCACTGCTAATTTGATATATGGGCTTTTAGAGACTTTCATGGGGTCACATTCTGGAAGAAATAAGCATATGTCAGGAGGCACCCTGTACAGGAGCTATGTACACACCTTAAGTCCTGAGTAAAGAGGTACTGGACTGGTATTGCACCCATTGCAATACAGGTGGACTTTACCTCTGCTTGGATAAGAAAGGTACAGTTCAGGGAGTGGGTGTTACCGGATAGGGTTGAATTACACTCACCTGTTTGTTGTAATCCTTCCCTTCTGCCCTTTTTTGGATAGAATGTTCCATGGATTAGTTCCCTCCATTAATAAAACCCGGGTTCGAGGCGTGCTCCCCTCCTCTTTCTTGCCTGCCTTGCCTCCCTTGTGGGAGCTGTGGCTGAGGAGCAGTCACTGAGCCCCAAAAAAAGGTACTTTCTGTGTCTGTGTCTTTATTTAGTCAGCCCAAATTCACTTGGAGTGACTCTGATTGATTTAGTCACATGTACCTGCAAGCACACGATATAGATTATAGCAAGTGTGTCTTACTTCTTCTAGGGCCTCCAGTTCTTCCTCCAACTGCTGGGATTCCTCCTTCACTGCCATAAGGTAATCTGTAATGGACTGTCGGGGCTGCATCCCCTTCTCAAAACGGTTATACATTCCACTCCAAAACCTAGGAAAAAAGAGCTTTACAGTACCACCAAACCACAATCTGAAAACTCACATTCTCAAATCTTACAAGCTATTTTTAATATTACAGTTCCACAGTCTAAATAATAACCAAACACAAATTACAAGTTCAAAAAAGCCACTCACAATAATTTCATGTTGACAGTTTTTTGGGGGAGCCCATAGACTTTTGAAGAAAGTTAAGTTCATGAAGTGTCTACTTATATATGATACTGAATTAGGAGGCATATAATAAGTATATTTTTATAATAGATTGAAGTAGCACATATTACCACATTTTTGTTTTGGTTTAATAAAATGGCTGTTTTGAACTTCAAAATTAGTGAACATATATTGAGAGTCTTTCAGCTGCAAAAGGAGGCTTTTAAACTTGAAGCTTTTTTAAAAAAAAAAGTATAATAAAATTAACATTCTGCTCTAAAAGTCTGGGGAAATAATGATATTAAAATAATTGAGAATAAAACCATCTTGAGGAATAAAATCTTTAAGCGGGGGGTGGGGCAGTAAGTATTTGTTGGGAGTGAGTAAGGAAAAGGAATGTGGTTTCTCATTATATTCTGTGCACTGGCCTTTTGGCTGACCTCTGAGTCATTTCTATATCACATAAGACTAGAGAAGAAGCCAAAGGACAACATATAACATGCTTGGTCTCCCATCCCGATTTATAAAATCTTAAAATAATCTATTTCCACAAGAGAAATAAGCTGGGATTTGATTCAGCAGAGATAAAACCATGTGATAATTTGATAAATGTGTCATTCTAATTTAGCCCATAAGACACTTGGTTTTCTTTTTTCTCTTCCTCTCTTCCCCTCCTCCCTTTCACTTTCACTTAGAAATATAAGTTTCTATATATTTCTAAGATACCATTATTATAAAACATTAACTTCTGAAGAGAATTTCACATTTAGAGGGATGAGAGGGAGGAGACACGGCCAAAAATACCAGTCAGTTATTCAAGCATCTTCTGGAGGATTGTGTATACAAAAAAGCCTTGAAACCCAATGTCTCAGACACTTTGGCCTCTGAAAGTTAAACAGTGCCAGAATCCAGTTTCACTCCATAGTTTGAAGATTGCTAACGATTTACATACTTGTACATGGAGTTGCATGGAGCTGCAGGGAGGTGAAGGCATCCCTGGTTCTGACTGTGATCCACTCTAAACAGAGGATTCAGGTAGTCAGCCCGATTCTTCAACAGATGAGCCCATAAAGAATATGTTCTTTCTTGAATACTGTTTAAAAAAAAAAAGTCAAAAATGACTGATCTTGGTTCTTAAGAATAGTAAATGTATAATATAACAGCTGGAAAGGAACTAAGCACTGTGATCTGAACATCAGTCCTTGTTCTACAGAAGGGAAATTTATAATCTTTTGGTAGTTTCTTGATATGGTAGAATAGCACTATAATAATTTCAACTCCTCCCCTACTATCTGCATTAGCCTGGACAGGATGTTTAATTCTTGTTAAGTATAAAAAAAAAAAACTGCTTATATAGTTTTTTGCCCAAATATTCATTGAACATTTATTATTTGCCAGGCAGTTTTCAAAGGGCTTCCCATGTTTTCTCTCTTTTGACCCTCACTGAATTCCTATAAGATATATCCATTCTCTGGAAGAGACACTAAAAAAATGGAGAGGTTAAGTAGTTCCTATGGCTAGTGAATGTAAAAGCCAGAATTAAAATCCAAGCAGATACCATTAGAATTTGAGAGTCTGGTGCGACAAGCCACGAATTATGTGGGAAAACAGGTGAGCCTATAGGATGTGCTTGGCATCTTCTAAATCATCCCCCATCAGGAATACTTAAAGTTCCTTGGACAAAATAAACCAGTATCCACTTGAAAAAATATTTCTGTATAACTCTGATGGCATAAAGCCTATTTTATTTAATTTTAGAAATAAATTAAGTTTGATCATTATATACCATAGTTAAAATCATTTTATGCTATGAAAATCTCTTATTTGCACTTCCTAAATCACCTTCTTGTTATTAAGTTTCTGACTTTATAATGTACTTGGAAGTCCATATTTTATCTACTTTTACCCTTGGATGATGCAGTGCACTTTTAATCTAAATTAACAGTGCCTTGAGTTTAAAATTTGTTTTCCCTGTTATATTTGCAATTTTTATTCTAACCATATATCTACCCAAGATATCTAACTTTTAAGTGCAAAAATTATTTTCTTTGCCTCCAGAATTATTTTCAAGACCCCCCAACCTGGGTATATCAGGCTGATATAATATACCCAGATATATCAGGCAGAAACTGGGGGAAAAAGTACAACTGTATAGATCTCTGTCAGTTGATTACATTTTTGCCACTTTGAAATGGTGCCAGAAACAAGAAAAGAACTTGAATCTGTCAATATAGATATATGCACTAAATGACATAGTGTCCAAAATTATAAAAGTCCAACTGAAAAGTCTATGTTGCCCAAAGCTTGAGATAAAATTAAAACTCCAAAACACTTACTTGAGTTCTCGTCTCTCCTTTTGACTGTTGCATAGGAAGTTTCCAAACTGGCAAGAATAAATGTGATGTTGAATGTGAATCAAAAACCTCTCATTAAACTCAAAGGCACAGGGAAATTGTTCCATTAATTGCCAGACACACTCAATGAACTGGTCAATTACTGGGGAGATTTCTTTTGGGTCACCATCTAGATTGCCATATCTATAAAACAAAGTAGAAGATATGTTTTAAGGGTAAGTTTTTTTAATTAGAAGGCTATAAATTCATAAACTATCATAAAGGCAATACTAGTTCCTAAACAAATCTTATAAACTCAGTATAAGAGGTAGAAAAATTAACTTTTAAATTCCAATTTCAAGAAGAACTTCGTAATGGTGATATAAAGAAGAGAACATGTTCATGTTATAGTTACAAAAGAAAGTGTTAAAGTAGAATAGTTGGGGCTGGGGATGTGGCTCAAGTGATAGCGCGCTCGCCTGGCATGCATGCAGCCTGGGTTCAATCCTCCGCACCACATACAAATGAAGATGTTGTGTCCGCTGAAAACTAATAAATAAATATTAAAATTCTCTCTCTCTCTCTCTCTCTAAAATAAAATAAAATAAAGTAGAATTGTCCCAGAGATTAAATTCAAGGAAACTTTCCATGGAAAATGAGCAGTTTTTATTTCAAACTGTAAAAGTACAACAGAACTTTTGAAATAAATCTTCTACTTTATTAATGGCTAATGGGAGAATTAGAAGCAATTTCTAAGCAACTTTTGGGTTTCTCACTCTTGCATTGTTTGCTGAGAAGGAATAAGGAAGAAAGACAATTTGGAAAAAAAATAATGGTTTCTTAGGATATTCTCATTTCTATAGTAAAAACAAAACATTCATTTTTATATGACCACAGATTCCACAGAAAACTTTTTTTAGGCTAATATAAAATATTTTATCTTGAAACAACAAGCAATATTTTTGAAATGACAAGTGAATGTACATTACATAGTGCTCTTCTATAAACACCTTTAAATAAAATCGAAAGTCAAATAAAATCTAATCAATAAATTTTGTGTTATTTGTTGGAAATTTACATTTTCCCAAATAGACATTTTCTTTTGCTTTCTTGATTAACTGAGCATTTCTCTAATTATACATGGATTATCAATTTTCAGGTTAATATTAAAACTCTTTGTCTTTTGAAGATAATGTAATTTTAAAAACTTCTGTGTTCTTGAGGTAAAATATCATCTGGTAATAGATATTTGTTCTGTGTAAGTAGTATGTTTATGTTCTGGGCAGAACACAATAAGTCAATAGAGAAAGAAGAATGCCATCATTTGTATTCTTTAATATCCCCCAAACTGTATGTTAAGACTTGCTCCTCAGGGTGGTTCTATTGAGAGGTTGTGAAGTCTTTAAGAAGTGGGGTCTTGAGGTCAGTGGAGGTGTGCTCTCAAAGGACAAAGTGGGACCCAGGCCTCTTCCTCTTCTACTCTTTTTTTCTTTATTAAATTATTTATTTATTCTAATTTGTTGCACATGATGGCAGAATGCAATTCACTTCATATTACACTGTAGAGCACAATTTTTCAAGTCACTGGTTGTACACAAAGTATTTTCACAACATTCATGTTTTCATACATACACTTAGGGTAATGATGTCTAATTCATTCCACCATCATTCCTATCCCCTCACCCTTTCCTTCCCCTCCCTCCCCTTTGCCCTACCTAAAGTTCTTCCATTCCTCCCATACTCCGCCACCCCATAGCCATTATGAGTAAGCATCCTCATATCAAAGAAAACATTTGCCTTTGGTTTTTTGGGATTGGCTTACTTCACTTAGCATATTATATTCTCCAACTCCATCCATTTAACTACAAATTCCATGATTTTATTCTCTTTCAATGCTGAGTAATGTTCCATTGTGTATATGTATGTTTCCCTATCCATGCATCTACTGAAGGGCATCTGGGTTGGTTCCACAATTTAGGTTATTGTGAATTCTTCTGCTATAAATGTTGATGTGGCTGTGTCCTTGTAGCATGCTGTTTTTAAGTCCTTTGGGTATAAACTGTGGAGTGTGATAGCTGGGTCAGATGGTAGTTCTAGTGTTTTGGGGAATCTCCATACTGCTTTCCAGATTGACTACGCCAATTTGCAGTCCCACCAGCAATGTATGTGCCTTTTTCCCCACATCCTCACCAATACTTACTGTTGTTTGTATTCTTAATAGCTGCCATTCTGACTGGAGTAAGGTGAAATCTTAGTTTTGATTTGCATTTCTCTAATTGCTAGAGATGTTGAACATTTTTTCATATATTTGTTGATTGATTGTATATCCTCTTCTGAGAAGTGTCTGTTCAGTTCCTTGGCCATTTATTGATTGGGTTATTTGTCTTTTTGGTGTCTAGCTTTTTGAGTTCTTTATATACCCTAGAGATTAGTACTCTATCTGATGTGCAAGTGTAAAAATTTGCTCCCAAGCTGTAGGCTCTTTATTCACCTCACTGATAGTTTCTTTTGCTGAGAAGAGGCTTTTTAGTTTGAATCCATCCCATTTATTGACTCTTGGTTTTAATTCTTGCGCTATAGATGTCTTATTAAGGAAGTTGGGGCCTAATCCAACATGATGGAGGTTTGGGCCTACTTTTTCTTCCATTAGGCGCAAGGTCTCTGGTTTAATTCCTAGATCCTTGATCCACTTTGAGTTGAGTTTTGTGCATGGTGGGAAATAGAGATTTAATTTCATATTGTTACATATGGATTTCCAGTTTTCCCAGCACCATTTGTTGAAGAGGCTATCTTTTCTCCGATGTATGTTTTTGATGCCTTTGCCTAATAAAACTGTAGTTATATGGGTTAGTCTCTGTATCCGGTATTCTTACCATTGGTCTATAGGTCTATTTTGGTACCAATACTATGCTGTTTTTGTTACTATTGCTCTGTAGTATAGGCCTGGATCAGCAAATGCTTTACTCTTCTTGCTAAGGATTGCTTTGGCTATTCTGGGTCTCTTATTTTTCCAGATGAATTTTATGATTGCTTTTTCTATTTCTATGAGGAATGACATTGGGATTTTGATTGGGATTGCACTGAATCTGTACAGTGCTTTGGTAGTATGGTCATTTTGACTATATAGTCATATTTGACTATATAGTTCTGCCTATCCAAGAACAAGGTAGATCTTTCCATCTTCTAAAGTCTTCTTTAATTTCTTTCTTTAGTGTGCTATAGTTTTCATTGTAGAAGTCTTTCACCTCTTTCGTTAAGTTTATTACCAAGTATTTTTTTAAGCTATTGTAAATGAAGTGGTTTTCCTAGTTTCTCTTTCTGAGGATTTGTCACTGATGTACAGAAATGTCTTCAAAGGCATCAACAAATTTCTAGAGGTATATGATATGCCCAAACTAAATCAGGATTAGATATATACAATTTAAACAGATTCATTTGAAGCAAGGAAATAAAGGACACTATCAGAAGCCTACCAACCAAGAAAAGCCCAGGACCGGATGGATACATAGCTGAGTTCTACAAGACCTTTAAAAAAGAACTATCACCAATACTTTTCAAACTATTTCATGAAATAGAAAAAGAGGGAACAATTCCAAATACATTCTATGAGGCCAATGTCGACACATCAAAGAAAGAAAACTTCAGACCAATATCTCTGATGAATATAGGTGTAAAAATTCTCAATAAAATTCTGGCAAATTCAATAAAAAATATATCAAAAAGATAGTGTACCATGATCAAGTAGGGTTCATCCTAGGGATGCAAGGTTGGTTCAACATATGGAAATCAATAAATGTAACTCATCACATTAATAAACTCAAAAGATAAAAATCATATCATCTCAATAGATGCAGAGAAAGCATTTGACAAAATACAGTATCCCTTCATGTTCAAAATGCTAGTAAAATTAGGGATATCAGGAACATACCTCAACATTGTAAAGGCTATCTATGCTAAACCCCAGGCCAACATCATTCTAAATGGAGAAAAATTGAAAGCATTCCTTCTAAAATCTGGAAAAAGACATCCTCTTTCACCACTTGTATTTAACATAGTTCTAGAAACTCTAGCCAGAGCAATCAGACGAAAGAAATTACAGGGATATAGATAGGAAAAGAAGAACTCAAATATCACTATTTAAAGATGATATGATTCTGTACCAAGAAGACCCAAAACATTCCCTGTCTCATATATGGGAAACCAAGGTCAGAGAGGACAAATGCCCAAAGTCAGACAGTAAATGCCAAAGCTTGCATTTGGAGTTGCATCTGTCTGGCTCCAATGCCTGGGCCACTGTCCCACATGGCCTCTCCAGAGATATCTGGGAGAAACTTCGATGTGATGTGAATGCTTCAGGAACAATCCAATCTGATTGCCACTGTGAAAAAGCAGGGAAACTGTTCCCCGGGCACCTCACAACTTGCAGCCTAAAGTGAATGTCAGCACTTCCAAAATGGAATAAATCCAGTGTGCATGGAAGGAGGGAGAGTTGATCCTTCCTGGGTCAATGAATGAGCAAGTGTCATATATCTCTTCTGGAACAATTTAACTTTACTGAGTTGTGCCCAACTAATACCAAGTGCAGTTAGAGTTTGAGAATTTCCTCTCAAACTATGATGCAAAATGTACAACATAATTTAAACTTTCCAAATGGGATACACAAATTGTAGTAAAAATCCTTTCAAAACCAAGCTATTTTTCCCCTGGACACTGCACTGAAAACTTCAGAAACAGTGTTTTTATCCTAAACATTCAAAGCAACAGATTTTAAAATATTTCTTACCTGTGATTAAACTTATGGCCAAAGGAAATCCAGTCCTTTTCTATTAATACCTACATAAGAAAGAATATAAGTATCATGGAGAGAAGCAAATGAAGGAAAATAAGAGACCATAACCAACAATACTGAAGGATTCAGAGACATCTGGTTCAGAAATCACTATCCTCAGATAACCAGAAAATGAGTAAGAAATGACAATATCCACCAATGCATGTGGGAAGGGCAAAATGAAGGTCATGCACAGGAAAAATAAATGAGAACTGAAGTTAAAAAAGAAAACACCATAACACCATCCACTCAATGCTTCCTCCCTGCTAGACACTGCTGTGCTTCCCATGTGACACCTCACCTCATTGTGGAATAGGTGTTGTTATCCCTGTCATTTTACAGCAACAGAGAGTGAAGCAGAGAGAGATTTAATATTCACCTGCTATAGAGCAGAGGACATCACTTTATACCACAGGTCTCTCTGCTCTAAACCCCATCTTTTAACCAATACATGATACTGCCTCTTTGAACAATTAAAAATACCAACCTTTCAATAAGAAACAATTAGAAATGCTTTCCAGTGTTATTTACTGTACATGAGAAAAATTCTAAAATGGGTTTATGAGTATATTAGAAGCTTTAGCCCTGCTTTGGAATTAGGGTTACCATAAGTTCACAGACTGAAGTAGTCTGGATTTAAAAAATGTTAACTATATGGAATAGTCCTATTAATATCACCAGTGCTCTAAAATGGCCATTAGTTTCCCCCCAAAAAAGTGAATGGACCAGTTGAAATCTGTCCTTGTTAACTCAGAAGGGCATTTCATTTGTGCTGTAAATTTAATGTGGCACAATCAGGAAGAGAGTGGAAGAAAAGGAAGGTATGTGGAAGAAAGATTCATGGCAGGGTGTGACTGGGAACCCATTTTCCAAAAGTAAATGAGGGAATCTAGCCCTCCTAACCTCAGCCTAGGAGAGGGGTCTAAAGCAGGAATGTCACTCTCAAATCAATCCTATCACAGATAATTCAAGTTCTTAGGTGCATCCTAATAAAAGGAAAGGGAAAGCTCCAGGGAGGAAGCTGGCCTCTTCTCTCACGTCCCCAGGGTGTCAGCTGATAGCACTTGGGAAAGAGATTAGTAGTAATGATATTCTAGTAGGGATCCTCTCAGCATCTATCCCCAGCATGGATTCAGGATTCACTGAAGCATTCTCTATCCAATCACAGTTCAAGAGGAAGGAACCAGGTAATGGCCTAGTCACTAGAAAGCCCCTGCAGTCATTTTAGGGAAATCTCACTATTTAATCAAAACTTCACTACCCCTGGCAACTAGTCAGAAGCAATGTATCACATCTTGATGTATACCCAAAACGGATCAACCTCTAGGAGAGAATATACTCATAATTACATCAAAGAACACAAAAACCCTGAAAACAGTGAATATTCTCATCTAGTTGTGAGGACTACTTAGAAACCTGGAAGTGACAGCAGTTTTTCCTTCTAGAGACAATTAGCATGAACAATATAGAAAATGTTTTTCCCTGATATTTTTCCCCAAAAGTATTTTGTTACACACATTTTCCCAAACTTGAAGTATTTATGAGCAAATTTTTAAAAGCTTATTATTTTTCCCACTACTGAATGTCTTTTATATTTGTCCCCATTCAGTAGCATTGATCTGAAGTGGTTTCAATATCCCAGAAATGTACCTCTTTACTCCAAGCCTACTTCACTTTTTCTCCTTTAATTAACTTTGCTGATCTACTAAGAGAAAAATAATGCTGATGAGAAAAAAAAAATGTGGCCAAAAGTTTCTTAAAAAGAAGTCCACTGTGGTCAAGGCACTGCCTTTCCAGGGAAAGCCTAGCAGCCACACTCACCATGAAGCCCTTCAGAGTCCGGTAGTGTGGATCCAGCAGGAGGCTGGCCACCGAGCACACTTGAGCAGTCCTGTCCCAGCCGTCAGAGCAGTGGACAAGCACGCTTGCCCCTTCCTCTGAAACTGCCTAGAAGATACCAATCAGCAGAGTCACACAGAATGACAATAGAAGGAAACATCTCTCATCAGAACTAGGTTTAACTTCTATACTTAAAGAAAGATATAGACAAAACAGAACAAAACCTGTTCACTCTTTTATTTGGCATTTATGCCCTGCCTTCCTAGGATAGAACCAGGAGTGGCCCAGTGAGTGCTAGCAGCTAAGCTTTTCCTTCCCTTTCCATTACATCCAGAAGCCCTCACTCAAGTCACCTCAAACTTAGCACAGATATGAAATAAAAGTATATTTCCTGTGCAAACATACCTTTCTGATATCTCTTGTCCACCCTCCACCCTCTCCTGCCCTCCCATTTCCATGGGAAGTCTTATAGAAATCCTGGAATAACTACTGGCCCCAACCTTTTCCAAAAAGGAAAAGGCACAAAATTTTAAATTATGAAAGCACAAAATTAAAGATAAAAGGGTAAGAGTGAAGTAATGGATATAGGGAAAGAAGGCAAAAACAAAACTAAAAATTGAACCAGAATTATCTGCTAAGGAAGATTTTCTAATCAACATTGAAACTACACACATAACTTCTAGCTGAAAGTATCCTGGCAAGAAATGTAAATTGGTAAAGATTTCATTATAAGCATCTATCACTACCTGAAATTTATTTTTATTTTTTTACTCCTGCTTTTGGTCTCCCACATCAGAATGTCAGTTGTGAGGGATGAGAGATGTGATCTGGCTTAGCCGGCACTGCATCCATAGCACCTAGAATAGTACCAGGCACTCAATAAATATTTGTTGAGTAAAGATTATCTAATAAAGGGGAGCAGACCATGTCATCAGAAAAGATGATTCTCTTAAGTGTAAATCTAAGAAGAACTTATTTTTAGAAACACTGAACAACACAATAGAATACATTCAAAAACAGTGAAATTTGCCACAATATTCTTCCCATGGCAAAGTGGAATCCACCTGCCAGTTTGAGGGACATAACTTCTGCTTATATCATGTCTTAAAAAAATAATATATTCAATGGAAGCCTTAAGGCCCTATTACTGAAATGACTCACATTTGGTTTTACTGTCCTGCAGAAAATTCTTTGTTCCACCAGGACTAAGCCTAATGGAAGACAGAATATTTTGGAAATAGTTTAGTTGACCACTGAAATATCAACTAAGCACTGTACTCTTGCAAAATTACATGTTCAGAAGGCAAACCTTATGGAGGTCTGCAAAGCCAGCCATCTCCTCAGGACAGCAGAGTGAAGTACAGGGGAGCCCATGGAGAGGAGACAGGTCACCTTTCTGATGTCAGCATGGTTGCTAGTCTACCCCTTAATTTGTTTTCTCTGTAATCACATACCTTTGCAATGAATATTCCTGCATCCATGATTGCCTTGATGTGCCTTAACCAGCCAGAGTTCTCCAGCCCCCACAGGAAATCACTCATAGAGGGAGATTTGAGTTCACATACTGCAAAATGAATCAAGATACAAAAGTGAAATTAAGGCAATCTCTCTTTTATGTATGATCATGTTTTACAGGTAGTTTATTAATAATTTGTTTGTTGTAGTAGATATTCTCTGGACAACCTGAATCAAAAGTTTACTAAACTTGGTTCCATTGAACCATTTCAGGTAAGGCTTTTCTACTTTCATTGGCCATGATGGATGCTGCATTTGTTTACCAGAATCAATTAATGAAAATCATTGAATGTTAGTATAGCAAAGGTTCAGCAGAGAACATCTACTTACCTTTCCAGTAAAGGTATTAAAAATGAGGGGGGCTGGAGTTGTGGCTCAGTGGTAGAGCACTCACCTAGCTGGGTTCGATCCTCAGCACCACATAAAAATAAATAAATAAAGATATTGTGTCCAACTACAACTAAAAAATATTTTTTTAAATTGAAAGATATTAAAAATAGGTACCTAAGGAGTACTTGGATCGAGACTACTAGGGAGGAAAAACCATAAAACTAACTCTAGTACTTATCCAATTAGAACTCTTCATCACCCAACCTCTTCAGTTTGAGACTATTACAAAAACATAAAATGGAACTATCCCAAAAGTCTTCATGAAATGACCAGATTCCTGTTCTCAACAATGCAATGGGAGTTAAGCCTGTGAACTTAAAAATGAGATCTGTGCCTCTGATTCACTCCAGTGCAGCAGGCCAGATACTTTCCCTTTGATTGAAATAAACCCAGTGTCCCAATGATAACTATATTGTATACACATAGATATCTGAGGTAGGTGTGTGACCACTCCTATAACATCATCAACAAGAAACTTTCATCTCAAGAACTCCTCTTTAATAGAAGGTATGAAAAAGCTTTAGAACTAGTGTTCTGACTATATATCACAAATTCTGCATTTCAATGTTTATAAGAATTATGCCCAGAAAGCCCATTTTAAGGAGTTTTATAATACAAACATAAAAATTAAACAATGACCCATTGTTTTGTTGTGGTGGTGGTGGTGGGTGTTTTTTTTTTTTCTTGATTTTTTTTTTTTTTTTGTATTCTGCAGTGAAATAAATATAGGTGAGGAGAGGGAGCCCTATTTCCTACTCAGCTCTGTCAGTAATTAGCTATGTTGTCTTGTACATGTCATTTAACTCTTTGGGCCTCAGTTTTTCATTTTTAAAATAGGGAAGATATAGTAAATTAAATTATTTGACTCTTATTAATTCTTTGAAAGCACTGTGCATATGGAGCACGTGGCAATGATTAGTGACAAATATTTAATTTATTTGTTAAATAAGTTAACAAATAAGCCCCTTTTCCAAAGATAGTTATATGTTAGCCCTGCCCCTAAATATGCTAGATCACAGGGGATTCACTCTGATTTTGTGCAACCAAAGAGTCACACAGAAAAGCACAAGTGGTTAAATTCTGAGTCACAGAGACAGCAATGATGAAAGAAATAATACAGAGATTCCCAGCAAAAAGCCCTATTTTAGAAAGCCATATGAGGACCATGTTTAGTTAAGATTCCAAAATCTTCTAAAAGCCTGACCTGCTGGAAGCACCTAATAACCAATGGCAGAGAGTGTGGGGTAGTAGGTGTTTGATGTCTCTCTCTCTCTAGCAGCACTCTGGTTGGGAGCACTGTCATTCTGCTAGGTCACAGTGTTGTCCCCTTCCAGCTCCAGGCCCAACACCACAGGCTGGAAGACACTATCATTACCTGGCAAAGTACACAAAGGGTGCTCTACTGAAGCCCAGGGGAGAATACACACAGCCATTCATAGAAGCTATAGTTCCAAGTCAACCTTGAGGTCCTGGGTATTTAGCAGTGTTTTCAAGCTTACAATTTTCCTCGTTTTATGAGGAAATATTTATGAGATATTAAAATTTGTATGAATTTTAAATATTACACATGTGGACAATGAACTATTACTGAGCAATAAAAATAAATGAACTATTATAACATGAAAAGACATGGAAGAAACTCAAATGGATATTACTAAATGAAAGAGGCCAACTTGAAAATGCCACATCCTTTAGCCTCCCAACTATGACCTTCGAAAGAGGCAAAACTCTGGAGACGGGCTGGGGCTGGACTCAGTGGTGGAGCACTTGCCTCGCACACGTGAGGCACTGGGTTCGATCCTCAGCACCACATATAAATAAATAAGTAAAATAAAGATACTGTGTCCAACTAAAAAAAAAAAAAAAAAAAAAAACCTCTGGAGACAGTCAAAAAATCAGTGGTTGCCAGAGGCTAGGTTGGAGACACAGATGACTAGCTGGGACACAAGAATTTTTTGTGCAGTGAACTCTGTATGATACTGTAACAGTGGATACATGCCATTAAGTATTTATCCAAACCCACAGGATGTAGAATAAGAGTGAGCCCTAATGTAAACTGTGGTGATGATGTGTCAATGTGCGTTCATCCATTGTTATAAATGTACCATTCTGATGGGGCCAATTGATAACCGTGGAGGGGGGTGGAGTCTGTGGGGGTTGGGGATATATGGGAAATCTCTGTACCTATTGCTCAGTTTTGCTAAGAACCTAAAACTGCTCTAAAACATTTGTTTAAAAAATAACGTAATAGATAACTAGATTGGCTATAATTGTTTCAAATCTCTATTAAAAATGTAGAAAATGCTACCAAAAAAAGTCCCATGTTCCCATGCATCTTGCTTCCTTCCTTTGCAGTTTGTTAACATTCCCAAACACATTTCTGTCCTTTCACTACGTACATGCTAGCTGTGTGAGCTTGGACAGTATTTAGGCTTTCTAGGCCTTAGATTTCTTAGTTGTAAAATGGAGATAAACAAAAGCCCCTTTTCCAAAGATAGTTATATATGTTAGCCCTTGTTACTATTATTATCCCCAAATAATACAGCTTATATAGAGAGATAGATAGATATGCATTAAAATTTGCATAATTGTAACCTTTTGCAACTTGATGTTTTTTCATTATTCCATTGAGCTATTCACATCAATAAATATCATTCATTTTAGTAACTGCATAGTATTCTACTTGATGAATATATCTTATTTATCTGTTCCCCTACTGTTAACAATTATTTCTTTATTCTAATATTTACAAACAGCACAGTAAAAATATTGTTGTATAATCTCCTTGTGGAAAATCTCCCTATAAATGTATTTCCATAAAGGAAATGGAATGGGCCATAGGGTCAGTGCATCTTCATCAGTACCAAGTATTGCCAAATTGCTTTAGAAAGGGGCTGCATTCATTTGCATTCTCACCAGGAAGGTGGGAGAGTTCTTTCTCAAAATTGTGGCTACCACTTGGCACTATGACATTTTTTAGTTTCACCAAGTTTTATTTCTTTAAGGTTATTAATGCCAGTTTTATTGTTTTCGTCTTATTCTACTCTCTGGGTTGAATCTGTTTCTTTATTTTTCCTCCTAAATTCTTTTTGTGTGCTTGCTTAGTAGATTGCCTGTGTGCGTGCATGGTCTCTTATCATTGATATTGTGCTTGCTTTGCTCAATTTTCTGGTAATCTCAGTTCATTCCCACATGAGAGTGGAGCACAAAAGGGCTGGCTGGAGTGCCGTGTACATGGCAGGCTTTCTTAGCTGCTAGCTTAGCTGTGGGAGATTTGGCCAGTTTCACCACAGATGGCAGGATATGGAAGACCTTCTCTTGGAATGGCTGGAGGTTCCAGAGAGGGATCTCCATACACCTGCATGAGTCAATAAGACTGGATGACAATGTCCTAAGAATGGAGTTGGGGCAGGGAACCACAGGTCTCCTCTTCCCTTTGTAGACATTCACTTAACCCATCCTTTTTTGTCCTGGTATTCCTTTCCCAGGTCCACCAGCTTTGGGTGGGTTCCTGATACCAGAAGTGCTCTAGAGGGTCAGTCTTTCCAGGAAGTTCATCACCATCTTCTCCTGTGCAGGTGTGGGAGGAGGATTCACTGGCAGTGCAAGGGACAGAGAGGCTGGGACTTAACAACTACTTCTGTCTGCCAACACTCAGCCAGTCCTCATTTGAGATACCTGATACCTCAACTTCCAGATCCTGAACAGCTGCAGTTCCATCTGGCTTGCCTTTTCTCACCTTCCAATCATGAATTCCAGCTTTTTTCTCATCTTTTCTGTCACTTATCACTCATCTATTATCCGGCTTTCATATTAGTGTCACTGTCACCTCCTCTTCCATTCTCTCATCCTTTTGTAGTTTTAACATACACATACACACACACAAACACACATACCTTTTTTTTTTTAACCACTTTGTTATCCTTTTAGTGGGGAGTAAGAAGTGGGTAAATACAGGTTGTGCTCAAATGAACAGAAGCAACAGACCTGACTTTGGGCCAGAGCAGGGCAGGAGATTCCCCACTTGAAACTTAAGTGTTAAAAAAAAAAATGCACTCCTGGACCCAGTACGGTGACCTTAAGCTAGTCTCAGCCTGATCTCCACATAAGGAAAATAAAAATTTACCCTGAGATGTTTAGACCCTGGGCTTGGACTGGGGCATGCTGAGGATCTAACCCACACTCTGCTTATGTACAGGAGCTGGGGAGCTGAGAAGTGATCATGTTTGGGCTGCGAGTCTTGCAGACACCTGGCAGAAGCAACCCAAAGACTGATTAGGAGCAAGACTTCCATAATTCTGTGGAATCCTTAAGAAAAGGCTTCACTGAAGGTAAGTTGCAAACATCTAAGAACAGTGTTCCTAATAAAAGCAAGTACAAAAGAAAAGGTACAGGATTGGCCCAGGAATATGATGTAATGGAACCATCATCTAGACAGACTTCAGCACATTTGCACTCAAGCAGGAGGTGGAGTAAAACACAAAGGGGTGGCATTCCTGGCATATTTGGATTCACATTTCTGGTGGCCTGTGGATGAGTTATTGTTGGCCACTGCATGAGGTTGTTTCTTGTCATCTTAGAGAGTTCACAGCCAGCCTTCCCAAAGTTCCCCTCGCTGGTTGCCCCCTGTCTTCCACCCAGTTCTTCTTCCAAACTTTCAGCCCTGCCCTCAGCCCAACACAAGAGAAGCCACCCAGAAACATCTTGACCAGCTCCCTCTGCAGCCCTTCATCAGTGACTTTCCTCTGTTCCTCCAAACACCACCACCACCGCCCCATATCCTCATCCCCCACCTTCCCAAAACAAGGCTCCCTTTTCGAACCACTGCTGGTCCTGCTGTCCTAGGACCAGGAGTGATTCAAAGAGAACTGAGCAAACCAAAGCAGTGAGATGACTATGTATTAACTTCAGGGAGACACTAAACTGTTCTAAAAAGGAAATAACCAGAGTATACAAAAAGCCTCAGCCATGAATAATAGTTACAGAATGACAATGATGAACACACTGAATAAGCCTTCACTGGGAGCAATGGCCCTCCATCTTTTCCTTCAACCTTTACCATGGAAACAGCTCAAAGTCTTAACAGTCTTCATTTCTGGCACCTGAAGATTTCCTTTGTATGAGTCTGTTTTTTGATACTTTAATAAAATACCTGGGGCAGATTATTTTATAAAGAAAATAGCTTTATTTTGGCTCACAGTTCTAGAGGTACAAGGTTGAAAGGCTACATGTGGTGATGGCCTTCTTGCTGTCAAAGTCCTGACATGGAGCAGGGTATCACTAAGGAGTACGTATAGCATGTGTACATCTTGTGATGTCTCTTTCTCTTCTAAAGCTACCAGTAATTTGATCATGGACCTTATGTAAGCCTAATCACTTCCCACAGTCCCCACCTTTAAGCATCATAGTTGGATTATGTTTCTACCCTCAAGCACGCAGCACTATTCAGGCACTTTGAAGTCAGACATTCCTGCTTTCAAATTCCAGCACTGAAACCCGCAGCCAGCTGAGTTTTTGCCTTCCTCAAATGTAAAAGTAGAATAAAAACATGTTCCTCAAATAGTTGTTGTGAAGATGAAACAAGATAATACTTATATATATTATGCTGCCATAATGAAGACTCCCCAGAATGGTAGCTATACGTGTTCTTACCTGTTCATTCAGAACAATGTCTTAGGAGATAGAAAGTGTTCAACTGAAGGGGAAGCTGAGGCTCAGAAAAGCTAAAATACAAAGTGATCAATGGTAGAAGGTCTCAAACACAGATATTCTGACAGACAAAACTAGGGTGTTTGCCATCATACCATGGCTATCTTGGTGGGTTACACTAGGAATAATATAATGATTGTAGTAAAATTTAAATACCAGATGCCACTTTCCTAAGTACCTTACATAGATAGTTAAGCTTTTCTAATCCTCAAGACAGTCATTATAAGGAAGGCACTGGTATTATTGTCACGTTTTTACTATGGAAACCAGTACCAAGAGAGGTGAAATAGCTTGTCTGAGGTCTACCAGCAGGTCCATCATGAGGCTGGGACTAAGCTTGTGCTCTTCACCATGGCCTCTCAAACTCAGATGTCTTATTTTTCATAATTCTAACACAAATCAAAGTATTATTTGACTCACATGTACCATCAGCTTGACGGTTATGCTATCACTTAGAATTGTACTATCCCAATATAGTAGTAGCCATCCAGTCACATGTGGCTATTGAGCACTGGAAATGGGGCAGATCTGGGTTGAACTATGCTGGAGGCATAAAATAAAAATCAAGTTTTAGACTTCATACAGAAAAAGCATACAAAATACCTCATTCATAGTTTTATATGCAGATGTATGTTGAAATGACAACATTTTCAGCATATTAGGTTAAATAAAATGTTATTAAAATTAAATTGCCTCTTTCTTCCCACTCCTTTCAATATGGCTACCAAGAAATTTAAAATAACAAATGTCTGTACTTGTGGCTTACACTATACTTCCATGGAGAGTGCTAATTTAGTTTGCTCAAGGAAGTTTATTCTGCTCAGAAAGCTTCAAACCTTTTGTACATATACCTCTAAAATAAACTGCAAAACATCTCCTTACACACTCTGGTATCAAGCATCTTGATAAAGTTTGGGGGTGTGGCAAAGAGTGTTTTCTTTCAAAATGTGGCAAAAGGGCAATTAGGAACAGGAGGTGGGAAAGCCTGGCTGGCTTATGCCTGGACATGCAGAGCCTTCTATGGCAGGTCACATAGTTTTAGGAAGACGGGCACAGGGCACAGACGTTGATCTAGGAGCCAATCCCCATATAGCAACGTACCATGGCACACCTCAGAAAGCTTCCTGTGAGTTCATAGGAGCACAGACACAATTTGAAGACAAAGAGCTGACTCTGATGCAAAGCCAACTGCCAGCTCCTAGTTAAAACTGAGCCCTGTTGTTCTTGCCCCAGCCCAGCTGATTTGTCCTCTAGTGACACTGCCCAGCAATACTGCACAGGCCCTCTAAGTGGCAGGCTCACCTCTGCCTATGCACACTGCTAAAAGACACAGCCCAGCAGGAAGCGTGGCAAATTCCAGCACCTTCTGTGAGCTCTTGCCACTCCCTGGGCGCCTGCTGCTTGGCCTTTCTTTCCACTTTGGGCCATGACCCAAAGTGTTCAACTTAATCCTAAAATACACACATTCCACCGTGTGAAGTTGCAGAACTCAATTGATTCCTTTAAACCTTCCACAGATAATATTCTCTTGCAGTTTTTTTCACTAAAAAGGCCAAACTTTCGGTTTGTTATTATAGGGCTCTGGGCTGGTTAGCATTCTTGTTTATTCCAAAAGCCCAGGGAGCCTGAGAAATATCTTGGCATCCAAACTCTGAAGCTCAGCCCAAGAACAAACGATCCTTTTCACCTTCTCTTCCCACAAGGCACAGAAATGACAGCAAGTTTAAAAATAAAGATACCAGGCTTTACAGTTAACTTGGAGATGGCCTGTGCCTAAAGCAAGCGAGGAATCCACAGCTCAGGAAACAAGGCCCTACGATGTCCAGGAGAGAGGATTCTCCAGCACTCCCTTGTTCATTTAGCTCACATGGCCAAGGGACAGGCGGCTGGGCTCTTGCCACATCAGTTTCCTTTCTTTTCACACTAAGAATAGATCCTCGTGTAACATTTCTTTTTTCAGGAACACTCAAATTGCACACGCTTGTAAAATAACCCACCAGGTTTTCAGGCCAGATGACAAGTGAGATGGTGTCTTCCCCTAATAGTCAGTGGCAGTGTTCAAGGCAAACAGGTCTGCAGATGATTAACACACCTGACAGATGGGGGTACACTTGAGACTGAAACGATTAGTGCCTGAGTTTTTAAATATAAAACTATTGGGTTTGTTTGGATAAACTCAGGATAAGGCAGAAATACTGATTTGTTCACTCTTGTTGCCAAACCCAAACCAATATTTACAAACCATTTTGCTGAACAAAGTTCATTTCAGCTGACATCAGAGGCATATGCCACAAATTACAGAGAACTGTACTTACTAGCCTGGAGTTTAATGGCAGGTCTAGTGATATTTGTTTTATATAACAGGGTAACTATATCCCAAAAACATATATAAACCATAATGGAAAAAAATGTATAATTTTAGAACCTGAGAAATGTGAAATTTACTTGAAGGAAATACAGCCTTGTCTGGTCTTACTTGGGTGTTACTTACACCAATCTCATTTCTTCCTATTATAGCTGCTGGGTAATGTCAGTGAGGACATAAAGAAAGACTCCATTTGAACCCCAATGGGAGTGGTCTCTCCTGTACCCTAAGACCTAAAGTAGGCATGTTCATGCCCCCCCCCTCGCATATGTACTACCCTGACATATGGCTGAGTTCTGCTGTTCTTTGATTTATCTCTTTCCCATTTTGGAGTCAAGAAGCCAAGACCAAGGAGATAGTCTTCAAAGAACTGGCAAAATGATAACAATCTCCCTTCAGTGAATATCCTAGTAAGAGAAACCATTAGAAGATAATTTAATTATGGCCTGCGATGTAGAAATGTTTAGTCAAGCCTGCTTTGTAGTCTCCTTCTTTTACTTAGAGACCGCCATGGCAACACAGGATAAACTTCTGAGCTCTGCAGTGAATTGTATTCAACTTATTAATACCAGCAGCACATTCCTCCCTACCCAAGTCACCCAACACAGACCCTCTTTATAGAGAATTTGCATCAACTAGAAAGATCTGTGTACAAGCTTCTCCATAGGATAATGACAAGGTTAAAGCTTATTCTTCAAAATATTTCTAACTTTGTTGATATTTTCTGGAATTTCTATATAATTAATAATGCCATGAAAGTCATTTTCATACAGTTTTGTATTAGAAAGACTGTGACGATAGTATAAAATGCCTAGGAGGTACAATCAAGCCTAAATTCTGTGCACCTATGTTAGCATTGCTTGAATTAGCACGGACAATAGTAAACATGCCTATGTGTGTGCATGTGCATCTAATAAACGTGTGTGCTTACACACATAAACAAATATGAATACTAATTCCTACTAGCATAAAGAAAATCAAACAGTAGGTTCACACGAGGAATGCCGTTAGCATTTATTTGCTCCATGTGTGAACTTTGTATCTAAAGACAAATTTACAGTATAAGGTGGCAACCTGTACTACCTTAGGGTTAATGGATGTTAAGAACAGTAAGACATGAATATTTAATGCTGGTATACATAAAATTTTGCAGCAAATAAAAAATATGTGTGGCCATTTACAGTACTTCTACCACATGTAAGAAAAGGCGCACGGGCTTTCCCTTCACTGAGTCCACATGGTAGATGCAATTGTCTC